ATGTCTGTGTGTCTACACAAGTACAGTGCCCACAGATTCCATAAGAGGGTGACAGATTCCCCTGGAGCTGGAGCTAAGGCTTTGTTCTGAACTGACAGATGTGGGTGCTAACCAAACTCAGGTCCTGTGGAAGAGCAGTCAGTGCTCTTACCCACTGAGCCATCTAGCCCCGGAATGATATCCTTTCAGAATGTCAGTGAGTCATCTTGGAAGTTGACTTCCACAAACTTCTTTTTTTTTTATTAGCATTTGTTCAAATTTATTACTGTGCTACTCACTTACAGCTTTTATTTTAGTTATTATTTTTGTTTGTGTGTGTGTGTGTGTGTGTGTTCCACAAACTTCTTAACCAGCACAGTGCACTAAAGCTTAGTTAAGAAAACAGTGTTTTCTGCTTATTTTGTCAAATTAAATCTGGAACTTTCTGGCTCAGTGAATCTAGAAAATCATTTAATATGTTTGTATCTAAGTTTCTGTCATTAAGTTGGCCTGGTATTCATGCTGCACACACAGAGTTGATGGTAAGGTTTCAAGTGCCCTGGGCTCACAGACGCTATGAGTGGTACACAGTGGCTCAGTGGTTATTGTCATTAGAAAGGACTGAGTCTTATTCTTACCCAAATGTTGATGCCATACACAATCTATGTTTTGGAAATTTTCTAATTTTTTTTGTTTTATTTAATTCCAAATTACTTCTGGAGTTAGAAACTTACTATTTGAACCAGTTGGCTGTTTTTGTTTTTAAAGCTTTATCTTTTATGTAGTTTATTGCTGAATTATTTTAAAACTTAGAAGGTAGAATTAATTTTCATTTGACTTTCTGAAACCTAATATTTTAGAAACCTAGACTTTCAGTCTCTTCTCTCTCCACTCTCTCCCTCCTTCCGCCACCCCCACCTCTATCTTGCAGTACTTGGGGATTCATTTCAGGGCATTGTGATTGTTAGGTAAGTACTCTACCACTGAGCTCTGTCCTCGGCCCTCTTTTTATATTGAGATGGTTTAGTTTTTATAGCTGGCCTTAAACTCAGAGTAGCGTTAGGCAGGTCTTTAACTTACAGTCTGTCTGTCTTCCTTATCCTCTTGAGTAGCTGGTTTTACATGACTGCCATGAGACCCAGCTAGGGTCTTTTGGGTTGTTCAGAAGGCCAAAGCCAATCCGTGTACTTAAGAAATTTCCACCGATACTGTGTGTCAGTATTGGTGTGATGCACTTGGCCTGGCAACATGTCCTTCATTGTGAGGAGTGGAAAGGATGAACAGCCAGGACCCACTCATGGCTTTGTAACTTGTTTCACTTTCTTGGCCTAAAGTTTGGCCTCTGGTAGGGGCTGCAATAAAGTTAAGATGGATTGACATGCTGTAAACACATAGCTACAAAACTCAGGATCTCATGAGGGATCTCTGAAAACTCCCTCCCGATAAAGAAAAAGAAAACTAAACAAAACAAAAAAAAAGAAGTTATGAATTTCAAGGTTTGTGGACAAGCAATGATACATTTTAGCCAAGAGCCGTTGGAATTTAATCAATGAGCATGTGTTTTGTACTGACCTGGGAACCACACACTTCAGCGGAAGCTCAGCAGAAATTTGTAAATTTTTGGGTTTATAGGTGAGCCAGGAATAAAAGATAGTTCTATCAACTACTATCTGTTGAGATAAAAGATATGGTTTGTTACAACACATTTTTATATATTCAAATAAGAAATTGAAGGATAAATCATTTGCCACTCTGCCACCCCAAGAAATAAAGAAATGCAACTGAATTAATGTGCTTAATGTTCTCTCTGCCATCAGAGGCACCGAAACAGGAAATACAGCAAAACACTTGACATATAATTTGTGAATGAGATTGCCAAGAGGCGGGTGCATTATCCCTGGAGCTTTTCACTGGTCCTTTCAAATCAAAGTTCTAGGAAGCATTTCTTTCTTACTTAGATGGAAACGTGGTCTGTGAGGACTTAAAAGATGAATAAACTATTTGAAGGAGTCTGAGAGACTCCTCCTGATACTTCTAACTTCAAACACAGTATTTGGCCTTTGCTTTGGATGTCCAAGTTTCTAAAATCTCATTAGAAGGAAGAGTGTTAACTAAAAACCAGTGTATTTGTATTGAACAACTGAATTTCCTAAGCATGAAAATCATATGCATTTCCTAATAAGTTACAAATCTTATGGTTTTACCATACTGACTTCAAGTTCTGTACCAATTTGATCCTCCATTATCTATGCTTTTGGGATCATATTAGATATGATGTATTATCCCAGTTAATAATTCCAAAGTCAATAACTTGTTGATAGGGGGATGGATGATTCATGTGGTTCCCAAGGTCTGAAAAATTTATTTCATTTAGCTTTCAAATCCAGAGGTCAGAGAGACAGATACTCCTAAGACTATGAAGTGGCCTCATCACAATTGTAGAGGAAGTCTGCTCAGAGAAAGGGGTAAGGCAAGAGGGTGGGAATAGGTCTGTTGACCAGGGTTTCCCCGCTGACACTGTGCGTGAGATTAGGTAGCTCTCTGTTGTGTGTGGAGGGGGCTGTGCCTGCAGACGCTAGACACCTGCTCCTCTTCACCAGGTGCCAGTTGCACCCTCCTCTTCTCTGGAAGGAGTCACTGACATTGTCTCCTCAAATGGCCCAATGTTCCCTATGAAGAGGCTCGCCCCCACTTGATAACTATGGACTTACACTTCTGTGAAGGGCTCTATATTTGACACTTGCTTTTAGCTGCTAAAAACCTCAGAATGCCTTTGGATTTCTTCTGGTGGACATATGGGAACAAATCTGAGTGCCTGAGGTCTTGCCGTGGGTAAGCACAGCTTGAGAAGTAGACGGAGATAGGCAATCACTGCACGAAACTACGAGGAGAGAAGACTGAAGGCCCTTCATGTCAGTCTGTTCAAGTTAGTCCATGTTCATGACATGAAGTTCAGGTTCCTAGAAAATACTTATTTCAATGACTACAGCAATGCAAACTAAGGCAAGGTAAACGGAATCTTTTGTATTTCCCTTGGATGTGCTTGAACCTTCCTCCACCAAAGTTTACTTTCAGTTTCCCTTATAGACGCTGAAGTACTATTGCTTTCAGTGATACACACACACACACACACACACACACACACACACCACATACATGTCTATTACAAGTGAACCAAGTAAGTCTATTTCTAGTTCAGGTTCAGACCACTTCAGACCATTCTTGCCTCTTTACTTCCTGGGGAAAGTTTTAATCAAAAGACCAAAACTCTGTGTTTGCTGATTTGAATGATTTGGATGCTGAGGCACTATTAGTTTAAGTCCTGGGCCGTGAGCAGCACACTAAGAAGGAGCAGCACAGGAATACCCCCAGGAATAAGCTGGAGTTTAGCGATGGAGACAGCACAATAGGATACTTCACTAGGGATGTCTTGTGTTTCTTTTACCATTGTTCATTTGATTCTGCTCATGCCAGAGTCATCATAGCACTAAGGCAACAGTCTTAGCGTAGGCATCAGCAAGCCTTGTCTCTGGCCCTTGCTCTGTTGGACACGAACCTCATGTGTCTGGTTACATGGCTTTTACACTCAATTCCTCATCTATATAAGTGGAAGCAGAATTGATCCTGTAGGATTAGGTGTGTAAAATGCCATGTGAAAATAATACATGTGCCATGCTGATAGAACATTAATTTATTTTGATAGAAATGTCTATATAGTTTTTTATTAATGCCAAGCATCTTGTACATAATATGTCTGGTGACTGAGTGGCAGTGACAAACACATTCTTCGTGTTCCTCTCAGGCTAAGGCACCCGGCTGGCAATACCAGTGCTACACACATTTAAGACAAGAGCAGGAAGTAACACTTGACCAGACTTTGCAGATGGCAGCAGGTAAAACGGTTCCTCCTCTTACCTCTACAACAATCCCACAGTTCTGGATAGGAATATTAAACTCAAATTCATGTGGTCGCACAAAAGTCACTCTGCAGTCCGTCCCTAGAAATAATTCATCAGGGCCTACAAGCTCATCTGGATAAAACAGCGCCCTTTTAGCTACAACACGAAGATTCAGATAATTGCACTCCACCAATACTGTTGGAAGAGAAGAACAGGCAGTCAGCTGCTGCACCTCAATACATGGCATGAAAGAAGACCTGGTTTAACCAAAACAAGCAGAGGCTGGGAGTGTGGGCAAGGGCGATCCCTGTCATAATATGACTCTACTTCTCTTTTCTTCCCATTGACATCCCTCAAATGAAACAACTCGCAAAACCCCGAAAGCTCTGCCTGAGATTAACTGTGGTGGCTATTTGGAATGGAAGCAGAGGTATGTACTTTTATCAGGGTGCTGTATTGGGTACCAAGCTTCCCAATACTTGGCATCTGTGAAACTTAAGCCGTGAGTGTGTGTGTACTTGCATGCTGGTCAGCGGTAGATGTTTGCCTTTCTCAGTTGTTCCTCACCTTATTTTTTGAGACAGGTGTTCTCACTGAACCCGGAGCCTGCCAACTTTGCTAGCATAGTTGGCCAACAAGCCTGGCAATCTGTCTGTCTACCTCCCCAGTGCTGGGATTAGTCTTTTCCATGGGTGCTGGAGAGCAGAACGCAGATCCCCGTGCTCCCATGGAAAGCACTTGACAAACTGAACCACCTCCATGGTCCACAGGTTTTCATCATCAGGCATGGCTGTGTGCCAGATAGCAGCAGCCATATGGTTCACATGGAGATCTAATCCTAAATCTTGGGAGAAGAGTCCTTCTGGGGTGTGAATGAGCATTCTGTTCTCCAAGGCAATGGTATAGTGGGCCCAAAGGGCATAGTGTTCACTACTAGATCTCTGCGAATTGTTGGGCCTTGGAAGACTCACATCTTCTCCCCATTCAGCTGTCAGATACACAGAGGATTTGAAGTAACCCTCAGCATATACAAGTTCCCTGTGGAACTTACAGTCTTTACTTCCCTCCCGCTGTGTTTCCTCATCCCAGTCACCAGCCCCACACCCGCCCACCGCTGAAGCCCAAAGGCCTTTGATATAGTCCCAGTTCCCACTTCCCTTCCCTCCCACAGACTTCCACTGAGTCTTTTCACCTCCACTTTCAAAACTCATCTCCCATCTGCTTCTGTATGACTGTACTGTGGATTCCATCACTGTCCCTTGTCCGGGTAACCTCAGCAGCCCCTGTCCCTTCCCTGGGCAAACTTGGCAGCCTTGTGGAGGAGCTCACTGCCCCAGTGTCATTTTCTCATCCTTTTTTTTTTTTTTTTTTGGTCAGACAGGGTTTCTCTGTAGCTTTGGCACTTGTCCTGGAACTAGCTCTTGTAGACCATGCTGGCCTCAAACTCACAGAGATCTGCCTGTCTCTGCCTCCCGAGTGCTGGGATTAAAAGTGTGCACCACCACCACCTGGCTTCCTTCATTCTTGCAGCTGCCCTGTGCCAATGGAAGGGTGGGTTCTCTTGTGTATGTCCCTTTCCTGCCGTCTCAGAAACCTCCACTTCCCGGTTTAACCTTTGAACTTTCACATTATAGTTTTTCCTATTAAAATAAATGTTTAGTTTATCTTGGACATAGTTCATTAGCTTGGACTGTCAATTTGTGGTAGGCATTTTGCACAACTGTCTTTTTGTTTTATCTAATAGGGAGTGTTTCCCACTCTCCCAACACCCTCTCTTCCCGTGAGCAGTGACAATAGTATTCCATAACTGTGCTCCCTCCAAAAATTCCCTTTAGTCCTCCAAATACTAAACACATTATGCTCAGTACCTGTACTCATAATCAACTTTCCTTCTGAGACACTACAACAGTTTATATGAAAAAACTCCCAAGTTAACCTCTGCCTCCTTTGAGCCCAGTCTCTAGTGGTCTGCAGGACTCGGAGGTATTTTTAGTGAGTTCTGACCCACTCTGTCTTAGGGAACGCAACCCCATGCCAGGTGTCATAATTATTAGGTTGTTAACTTTTCAGATGGGATAATAAAGCCCCGAAACCAAGAACCTCATAACTCATGGTCACTGAAGAACTACCCCGTGAAAGCATCACCAGAAATGGTCCACTCTGATACCTGGCTGTTGCCCAGAACACCTCCACATCCCAGATATGAGCAGCAGCAGAAGTCCTGATATAACAAAAGCCTTCATTATGCCAGACTTTGGGCTGAGACCTCCTCAGTTACCAGGTAGATGAGAACAACTGGGAAGCCAGAAGTGTTTTTATGCCTGAAGCTTGACTCAGATGAATTCAATGAACTCAATTTAGCGAGGAGAAAAGAAAAACCTTTAATACCCCCAAAACTCCAACTCCTGAGCCTTTCTTTATCTATGGGCTATAGAAATATAGTGTTGGGGGGCTGGAGAGATGGCTCAGAGGTTAAGAGCGTTGCCTGCTCTTCCAAAGGTCCTGAGTTCAATTTCCAGCAACCACATGGTGGCTCACAACCATCTGTAATGGGGTCTGGTGCCCTCTTCTGGCCTTCAGGCATACACACAGACAGAATATTGTATACATAATAAATAAATATTAAAAAAAAAGAAATATAGTGTTGGCTAAATAAATACAGCACACATTCTGGGGTGCTTTTGAACTGTCTATGTAATACCTCAAAATGCTTGACTATGTGGCCAAATCTCTGGTTAGTCTTTAGTGTTCTATGAGTTGATTTAGGGATATCCCTGACTCTGACACAATGACATACTTTGTCACCGGTGGTTGAAGCCATCTTCCTAAGTTTGTGATACATATTTAGCTTAATTGGTGAATTCACTGGTTAGTTACTTCTTTGGTGGTATTGGGAGTTGACTTAGCAGAAGTTACTTACCATTAAAAATCAGGAAGAAGAGGTCAACAGAGACCCTGATCTTGACCATTCCTAAACCAACCCTGAGAGAACCCAGTGCTCTTCAGTGATTTCATAATGCTCTTGCTAGAATGACATTAATGACATTAATATCTAAGCCATTATACCTTATTCCCTTGAAACTGAACGTTTCTAGACCACCAGAGAGCCTTTGATGTTCCAGGCACCATGGGCTATTCTGGAAGAGTGGTGTGTATTTCCTGCAGAGTCAGTTTAATATGCCTATGATCTACATGTCTTACTTTTCTATTACTGTGATAAAACACCACTACCAAGGCAACTTATAAAACAAAGCATTTATTTGGGGCTTACCTTTCAGAGATGAAGACCATCACGGTGATGGGGAGCTTGGCAGCAGGCAGGCAGATAGCTTAGAACTCTCATCATGAGACGCAACTATGAGGCAAAGACATACGAGAGAGAGAGAGAGAGAGAGAGAGAGAGAGAGAGAGAGAGAGAGAGAGAGAGAACATTTGGAATGGTCTTTTGAAATCTTAAAGCCTGCCCCTAGTGACCACACCTTCAATAAGGCCATAATTAATCTTTCCCAAACAGTTCTACCAACTGTTAAAATATATGACCCTCTGGAAGCCATTCCCATTCAAACCACAAGACCACAAAGGCCTTAAGTTTTCTTCAGGTTTATTAATAAAGATGTTTGTTAACTTCACCAGTAGCATCGCTTGTTTTCTACACAAGTATTTATTGCACAAGCTCAGGATGCTAGCATGTTTTTTTTTGATATAACCAACAATAAAAAGTACATGTGGAATATCCTGGAAAGTCTATTAAGAGAAGTGCTTGATGACTTATCTGAAAAACAATTAAATACAAATGAAAAGGATATTGTAGTATAAAAGAGAAGTTTTGTGTATACCTAGAATAAAACTGTATTTCAAAATGCAACTTCCGTCTCAAACCTTCTATAATAAGGGATTCAGTTTTTTTTTCATTCAGTGGCAGTTTGAGAGACATCAGATAGATCTGAAAATGTTATTAATTTTTCACAATAACTTAAAAGTTAACCCAGGTATAGCAGACCTAACATCTGAGTGCTAAGTATGTTGAGGCAGAGAGGGGCAGAGTCCTGTTAACCAGATAGCTTTGAGAAACCCCGTGAGCCAGGTGTGGTGACGCACACCTTTAATCCCAGAACTCAGGAAGTGGAAGTAGTCACATAAGGAGTTCCTCCCCAGCCAGGGCTACATAGTGAGATCCTGTCTCAACCCCTTGACCTCAAACAAAACCAAACCAAAAAGAAAAGTCACGAAATGACACAAATTGTAACTACAAAACTTCGTAAAACCTAAAATGGGCATGGTGGCGCATGCCTTTAATCCCAGTGTGCTGGACGCAGAGGCAGGCAGATCTCTGAGTTGGTGGCCAGCCTGCTCTACAAAGCCAGTTCCAGGACAGTCAAGACTGTTACACAGAGAAACCATGTCCCGAAAAACCATAAAACAGACAGACAGCCAACCACAAACCTAAAGACCTACTTAATACATTCCTCAGTGATAGATATTGTAATACTTTCTGAAGTTTTCCAAAAGGTATGAATGTATGCATGAAGTGTACGTGTGTATGTATAGATACATATATGGCGTCTAAATGTATGGTGTGTGGACACGTGCACACAGAACTACACTGTAGACACAGCTTAATTTAGTCAGCTTTTATTATCTGTATGTCTGTGTTCTGCATTTCATTAGGGATGTCTGCCGAGTCGGGGCCTGCAGGATATTTATTTGAGAGAGGGTACACTACCATTGGCGACATCACTGAAGAATATGGCTTCCCCTCCTCCAGCAACCATTAATTGCCTATTGCTTCTCAGGGAAGGGTGAGACTTTGGGAGCCTCTTTTTCATCCATAATGATATACTGAGAGCCCTCTCTTGTACAGTTTCTCCTGAGTGTAGACACTCCTACTGTAAGGTCATGAGTGCAACAGCCATGCCCATCTGGAGGACATTTTACACCACCCCTCCCCGTCCCCCAGCTCTTACATTCTTTCTACCCCTCTTGTGTGACTATCCTTGAAAGACTGTACTGCTTGGGTTATTTCTAAGGAGATGCTCCTTGAGCCGTGAAGAAGGTGCCATAGGTGCCTGTTTAGGGCTAAGCTCTCCAGAGTCACTCGGTCTCAGCACATTGACTGTCTGTGAGTCTCTGCATTGCCCATTGCCCACCCACCGCCAACAGAGCTTCTCTGATGAAATCCGAGAGCAGCGCTAAACTATGGGCACAAATACCTAACGGCAGTTTAACACCATGTTCATTTAGTAAAATAAAAAAAAACTCTGATTTTTTTCAAAAACTGTATATATTTTAAAGATATTATTTTATTATCATATGTATATTGTGGGTTTTTTTTTTTGCCTGCATGTATTCTGTTAATTATGTTTGTGCCTGGTGTCTGTGAAAGTCACCACAAGAGAGTGTTGGGTCTCCTGGAGTTAAATATGGCTGGGATCCATCATGTGGTTGAGAATTGAACATAGGTCCTCTGGAAGAGCAGCTAGTGCTCTTAACCACTGAGTTATCTCTCCCACCCTCATACCTTAAAAATTAAGAAGTAATAAAAATTTAAGCAGAAGGAAAATTAGAGATTGGTTGAATACAACTTTATTGTATTAGGAAATGAAAACAGTAACAGTGATAAGAAAAAGAGAGAAGTAGGTCCTGGGGTACAAGACCCTATTGTCTAAGACGATGACATCTAGAGATGCGACATACAGTACTGAGACTATAGTTCATGGCACTGTGTTCCATACCGAACAATTGCTAATACACACACAAACGCACACACACACACACACACACACACACACGCACACACACACAGCACCCCACACTTAGGCACATTTCTCTCTCTCTCTCTCTCTCTCTCTCTCTCTCTCTCTCTCTCTCTCTCTCACACACACACACACACACACACACACACACAGACACACCATCCCACACATAGGCAAGGCATATATCTCTCTTGCATACACCACGCGGGGGCACACCCTGTAGCTACGGGAGGAGAGGGATTTGTTGGTTTAATCGGCAGCAAGTAGAAAGAGCTCATCACGCTGAAATATGTGCCCGTACTAGAAGTGGGTTGAAAATATTTGAGAAATTATTTTTTTCCAGTCCTGTGGACTGAACCCAGGACCTTGAGATGTCTAGGCAAGTGGTCTACCACGGAGTTCACTCTCAAACCTTAAGAAAAGGGCTGGGAAAAATTAATTTAAAAGAAAGAAATATAAAACTTTACTTTCCCCCAGGTTCTTATTTGTCTTGTAGAAGGGCTGTTTGAAGACACCTTTTAAAATAAAGGACACGTTAATAAAGAAATTTAAATTATATAAAAATTATTTTGTGGTAAATAAGTAGTTACATTTCTTTCTACTGTTACATCTTTATCTCTTATTGTGCTGCAGATTTGCTAAGCCCTGGAGATGAAAATATACATGGAATATATACCCTTAAGGAGTTCATGGCATGTGACCTTGTAGAACCGTTACTATTTATTTATTTTGGTGTGTCTATTTTGTTTTGAGACAGCATCTCATGTAGCCCATACATAATCACTCATAATTTATGAAGTGCTGAGGTTCAAACTAAGGGCTTTGTGTGTGCTAGACAAGAGGTCTTCCAGCCAAGTCACAAGCCCAGCCCTCTCTTAGGGCGATGATTAGTGCAACGATACATCTCAGGTAATACAGTCATGAGTGGTGCATTCCTCTAGCCATTTCGCCTTTCAGTAGCTGTTTTTCATGCTGCATTTTCATGGAATGTAGTTCTGAACGCAACTGATGATCTAGAGACAGGGTGAGCTTAAATATATATTTTTGGGGTGTTGGGAATCGAACTTACAGGCCCACAGAAGGTAGGGAAGTTTCCCACCTTTAAGCTACATTTCCAACACTCAAATATGCATTTAAACTGTTTTTATTTTTTTAATTTTTTATTGATTTTTATTGAGCTCTATATTTTTCTCTGCTCTCTGCCCTCTCCCCTTTAAGCCTCCCCCAAGGTCCCCATGCTTCCAGTTTACTCAGGAGATCTTGTCTTTTTCTACTTCCCATGTAGATTAGATCTATGTAAGTCTCTCTCATTGTCCTCATTGTTGTCTAAGTTCTCTGGGATTGTGGTTTGTAGGCTGGTTTTCTTTGCTTTATGTTTAAAAACTACCTATGAGTGAGTACATGTGATAATTGTCTTTCTGTGTCTGAGTTACCTCACTCAAAATAATGTTTTCTAGCTCCATCCATTTTCCTGCAAAATTCAAGGTGTCCTTATCTTTTTCTGCTGGGTAGTACTCCATTGTATAAATGTACTACATTTTCCTTACCCATTCTTCAGTTTGAGGGTCATTTAGGTTGTTTCCAGGTTCTGGCTATGACAAACAATGCTGTTGTGAACATGGTTGAGCACATGTCCTTGTGGCACGATTGAGCAGCCTTAAGCTGTTTTTCATAGCGAGATTTTAACTTCTCACTTTGAAGAAGTACCACCTTTTGTTTAGAAGCAAGGAATTTAAATTTGGTATAAATTAATTCCAGGCTTGTTACTTGAAATGTAGTCATAGAGAACCACTGGTATCACTTGGGAGTTTATTACAGCTGCAACATCTCTGAATCTTACCCCCACTTTTGTGTTAGAATCTGCTGTGTAATCAAAGTACTCAGGTGATGCGTGTATTTAAGTTTGCAAACAAGCCCTTCTAATGAGTATCAAGACAGCATGCTCTGTGAAGGCAAATCCCCGTGCCCCAGCAATTCTGAGGGCATTAGAATCCGTGACACTTTGGAACTTAAAAATGTAAATTTTCTGCCACACTCTTGTCTTGCTGAATCAGAAAAAAGGAATGCCTGTAATCCAGCCATCATGTATTAGAAAGAATACTCCACAGGTGAACCTGAGTGAGCCTCTGCTCAGAGGCAGATCAGTGAGAGGAGTGGAAGTGTGAGGTCTCAAGGTGTTGAACCTTTGCATTCTGCCTGACACATGACAACTACATTCTTATACAGCTACTCCTTCAGTGTGCAGATGATGAGACACAGATATTTTGGGATGTTAGGGAGTTTTAACAAAGTATACCTTATTGTATAAAATCACTCTGTACACACTGATACAGATTCTGATGCAAGCCAGCCTCCCATTCCTTCCTAATCCTCTGGAGAGCTCTCATGTTGCAGCAGTCATGGGGGGCGCTGTGGGTGTGCTTCCACTGTGCTATGGGACTACAGTGGCAGGATTCGCATCACGTTAACTCTGGTTCTTCAACACCTAAATAAAGTGTTACATTTTAGACGATGAACTGATGGTGTATTAGTGGCACGTGTGTGCTGTAAAAGGCACCAGTTAAGTACTCCCAACTGAGGCCATCTATTCCGGCATATGAGGCCTTTCACTCGTTCTGTTTCTCATTTCCTCTGTGGGTTTTGATCTTCAGCCTGAGCCATGAAGTCTTTCCTGGGTCTGCAGGGACTCCTTCTGCTTCTTCTCGTCCTGAAGACTGGTGCTGATGATTGGTCAGGTATCGCTTGTGACGTGGAGAATTGGGATGTCATAACACGTGCTGACAGATGAGGCTTTCTGATTGTTTCATAATGATTGGTCCTTTTCAGATGCATGATGTGAGACTCTCACAGTTCTACTGAGAGTAGACACTGTCCTAGCTTGAGTTGTTTCTTTCTCCAGTTCCCCTTTTCTTTTGACCCTTCCCAGATCACATCACATTTTGGGGATTCAATACATGAGGTGAGCTCAATGTCAGGAAAGTGGAGTGGACTGGAATGCACAAAGATGTTCGTGGACTGTTATGAACTTGGGACTCACTTGGGCGTGGGGGTGCAAGTCTTTATTTCCGAGTTCAAGGCCAGATTTATCTACAGAGCGAGTTCCAGAACAGCCAGGGCTACACAGAGAAACCCTGTCTCAAAAAATCCAACAAATGTAAACAAACAAACAAACAAATGATCTCAGGATGCCCTGTGGCTGGTAGGAAAAGGAGCCTTTTCAAGGGCTCAGCCTTCCTAGGCCTTATCTTTGCAGAGCAAACTTAAGTGGTTGGTCTCCTAAATATGAGTGCAGACTCTTAGTTTGAACACTTAGAATTACAATAAAAAGTTAGGTATTTTTCTCTGTTTATTTTCAACAAGATAATCCAGTCTTGATGCTAGGGAAGCTGCAAGACTCTTAAGTGTGTTGGTTAATGTCTTTTATTTCTTTTTATTAAGAGCTATTTAAAGGAGACAGCTATATGCAATCATATTAGTATCCACTGCCTCATCATGCAGACTTATTGAATTCACGTTGACTTGCTTCCCTTGCATAAATTAGGATCAAAGTGAAATTTCAGATAGGATGGGAGTCCTTGTGGTATCTGGTCTCAGTGTCTGCCCTCTATCCACATTAAAGCTTACTAATCACTTATTCCTCTGCACGTTTCCTAATTCAACTTCAGCTTTACAGAAGCAGAAATATGTATCTGATGTTTTATTTGTAGTTCATTCTACAGCTTTATTTTGCTCAGGGTTATTCAGAGATATTTCCCCTTCTCTCAGTCCCTTCTTCCACCTCCCCGTTCCCTCAGATCCATTCCTCCTCTGTTTCTCTTTAACAAAAAGAACAGGCCTCCCAAACATGGCATAACAAGTTGGTTGTAGTGTTCTTGACTAGTGTTTATCGCTATCAACCTCCATGTCTGCTTTTAAATACCACGAAGCTGTGGATATATAAATAAAGGCAAGGGCTGGTGGAGAGGAGCGTGAGTTGATCAAGAGTGCAGCCATGCTCTGCGCTTCACACAGTTACAATAGAAATGCGTTCCTGTGGCACAGCTGTATAAAATGTTGACCATGAGGCTGAGCACAATGGTGCCCACCTTTAATCTCAGGACTTGGGAGGCAGAGGCAGGTGGATCTAAGTTCAAGGCCAGCCTGGTCTACTTAGAGAGTTCCGGGTCATCCAGAGCTACGTAGTGAGACTTGTAATAAGAAAAAAATTGACTTCTGAGAATGGAATTAAAGGATTAAAAATGTCTTAAATTTGTATTGCTCTCCACTTCCTGACAGAGTTACTAAACAATATCTTTGGTAGATAGGAGTGTTTGTGTGTATCTTTGAGATGAAGTCATAGCAGATGGTCAGCTTTGACAGACTTGCTTCTCTCTACACCATGTTTTATTTTGTTAAGGGAGGAGCTCTTGCAGTAGCTGGCTTTGCTCAAATGTTCTGTGATTCACACACAGCCTGTTAACAGAAATATTCTCCTTTCTACTTCCTAGCCCTTCGTCTGCAATGCACCAATCATTGGTTCTATCTCAGGATTAAGGCCACGCTATTCCACAATGTATTTATGCAACCTGATGAAGTGTATTTAGGATCTATCTGCCCTGTGACCACCGTCTGGCCAAATGATGTCTATGACTTTACCTACCGTACTTACGCCTGCGGCATTGTCAATAAAGTAAGAAGAAACACCGGTGTCTGTGGTCCCTTCCTTGGACCCAGAAAATGGAAATCATAGTTTCCATTTGTCTTACAGCTGGGTTAATGTCTTTAAAAGTCACATCCAGGAAAACTGATGTTAACTTGATGGTAGGAAGAGACCCGTTTTCAGTGCATCACAAAGTAGTTTCCAAAACTAGTTGCACATTACAGCGCACGGCATTGTAGCCTCAGGTGGAAGGGAGTAACGTTGGTTAAACATCACAAAGGGCCTCAGAGTTCCCTACTGCAGGCATTGACATGTTTGTTATGCATTGCTGTCTAACATTAACTGGGATTTTTAGTTGATTACAAAAGTAAAAATCAGAAATGATGTAATATTACTTATTAAAAGACATTACACAACTTTTACAGGTTGAGGTGAAGGACAGATTTGGTGAGACAGGAAGAAAATTTTAGGTGGAGCTGGGTGTTTATTAGGTGCCCTTGGGAGAATGATTACTGTGTGAAAGGAGCTGGGCTGTGGGGAACTCAGATGTCTGTGGATGGATCCTGCAGGCTGTTTGCAGTCCAGCCAGATAACTGATTAATTGATTAGTACTGGAACTTCATCAGGGTGGGTTTTCCTTTCTTTTTTTCTTCCTTTCTTTCTCTCTCCTTCCTTCCCTCCCTCCTTTTCCTCTTTCTTTCTTCCTTCCTTCCTTCCTTCCTTCCTTCCTTCCTTCCTTCCTTCCTTCCTTCCTTCTTCCTTCCTTCCTTCCTTCCTTTCTTTCCTCCTCCTCCTCCTCCTCCTTCTTTCTTCTTCTTCTTCTTCTTCTTCTTCTTCTTCTTCTTCTTCTTCTTCTTCTTCTTCTTCTTCTTCTTCTTCTTCTTCGAAATGATATAGGGACTGGGCTGTATTGATGTATCTCAGCTGATAGCATGCTCATCTAACATGTACAAGGCTCTGTGTTTATTCCTAACACCATAGAAACTTGGCTTGGTGGAGCACACCAGTGACCCTAGTACTGGAGAGGCCGAGGCAGGAAGATCAGGAATTCAAGGCAACCCTAGAGAGTTCAAGGACAGCACAGAATACGAGAGACCCAGTTTCAAAACAAATGTCCTGAGTTCATCATTTAAATGAAATTCTCAGCCATCTGAATTCCAAATGGGTTTCAGCTAATCTGAAAGCTGGTGCTCTCTGAAATAAACAACATTTTATCTTCTACTGTGTTTCTGGAAAGGAGGTGTAAGCCCATGATTTTTAAAAATACAAACAAAAGATCTGATCTCTTTCAATAAACAAGTATGATCTGCCTTTTACATCAGTAGTGTACCAGATTGAACCAGATTGAACCTAATCTCTTTAGAAGATGGTCCTCCTCATGAGTGATTTAAGTTTTTTTGAGAACTTGAAGTACCTTTGTAGCTCTAGCTCCAATCCCTTGATCTCCTGAGATGTGTGAGATACTTTAAACCTTTCTCTGCCCCTTCAGGTTCTTTATGATGTCACTCTGCTTCAGACACACCTTGCATATATCCCAAAAAACTCTAGTAATAGCCGAACTGAGATGCGCCTGTCCTGTGTTCTACATAGGTGAGTACCACATGTGGGGCACCTGTCCAAGACCCCAGCTTCTCCTCAACCCTCTAGATTAAAGGCCCAAGCCCTAAATGTTAAACCACACATCCCAGGTTGTGGGCGGGTGTGGTGCTGGTGGGAACCAAAGCCAGCAGCAATATGTCGACATCCTTGGTCCTGGGCCTTCAAAGTGAGGGTTGTCTCCTAGAGCATTAGAATACTGGAGAAGGAGATTAATCTACTTCTTTAATATGAGTGTCTGAACGGCTGAAAACCTCACAGGTTCCACCCAGCTAATCGAGCCAGGCTGCTTTAAAAAGAAGTCCACATCCAAGTGTAATAAGGACAGAAAGGAAAAGCCTGAAAGATATAGAACTGTGTCAGAGAAATCAAGGCCAGCATGCAGCAGGGGCGGGTGGGGCTGACGTCATAGGGAGAGAGGCAGATTAAATCCGACTCATGGGATGAGATTCAGTATCTTAATCATTAACCATTTGAGAAAGCCTAAGTTATAGCTCATTAGCAACCTTGACCAGGGATTAGCAAAGTCATAATAAGCGTGGTAGGGCTGTGGGAGGCAATCTATTGGATTTTTCTGGTTAAAATCATTTAATCATTTTTAAAGAAATTTATAATGTGTTTTTCAAATGGTTTTGCACATAAATGTGTCATGAGGTTGGGCTATTGTGTTTTTAGTGGGCAGTCTTCCTGTCATGTTTGAAGCCTCCCTCTCCTTGCCTCACTTTATTAGATCACTTAATATTTTAACCAGCCTATGTTCGCCGCACATAGTGAGGGGCTCATAAATATATGTAAATTCAAGTGTCTCATGTACTTTGACCATATTTTCCCCATTACCCTCCATTTTCCCTCTTTACTAATGCCCTTTCTACACTCATATCCTATATGTGTCTGATTCAGGATTCACATAGGAGAGCACATTCAAGATTTGAAAATCACATCATAGGCTTACATTGTTGTAAAAGAGATTCACTTGAAAAAATTAATTTTCCCTTCAAGTAATTATTGAAGCCATCCTCCCTGTTCCTTCACACAAAGAGTAATACGTACCATAGCAACTAATATTTTTTTCTAAGTTTCTTGAGACAGGGTTTCTCTGTGTAACCACTGTGGCTGTCCCGGAGCTATTAACATTATTAATGCAATGTTTTAATTCTTTGAGAATTGCATACAATATATTTGTATAATATTCATTCCCACTCCTACCCTATCTCCTCCCACCTCTTTACCTATTCCATTACATTGTGTTCTTTTAATTTTTTTTTTTTTGGTTTTTCGAGACAGGGTTTCTCTGTAGCTTTGGTGCCTGTCCTGGAACTAGCTCTGTAGACCAGGCTGGCCTCGAACTCCCAGAGATCCGCCTGCCTCTGCCTCCCGAGTGCTGGGATTAAAGGCGTGTGCCACCACTGCCCGGCTTAAAAATTTTTTTTTTTAAAAAATAATTTATTGACTCCAATTTGTACTATTCATATACTCATGGGTGTGGAGTCATTCACTGGAGTGTGATTGACTTAACAGGAGTCAAACCATTAAAAAAAACCTGTCTCTCCCTCCCCAGTTTCTATTAACTGTTCAAGGCTCCTCCTCAGTTAAGCGGGAAGGCTCACAAGCGTCTTCTCAGTCCATGATATCATGTGCCGTAGCTGATTCTTATGCAGGTCTTGTGACGGTAACCACAGGTACTGTGAACTCACGAGTGCAAAGAACCTGTTATTTCTAGAGACGCTCGTCTGGTCCTCCCTGACCTTTGGCTCTTACCATCTTTCCCCACCCTCTTTCTTTATAGTCTGTGTGTGTGTGTGTGTGTACATGCACATATGATGGTGATATAGATGACTCATTTGTGGATGACCACTGTATTGATGATTGTTTTCTGCTCTTGGCCATTAGTGAGTTTCTATGTTAACCACTGCCCATGACAACTAAGATTTTAAAATCACATATCCTAGGCTTACATTGTTGTAAGTGGTTCACTTGAGTCAGTGTGTCTACGTCCCTGGAATTTGGCCTCAAGCGCAGCCTTCTAAACTCTGTGGTCTGAATGAATCTTCAGCCCTCTGTGATAATTCTTTTTCCCTCTCCCATTTTTAGTCGGTATCCTCTTTTCTGTGAAGCTGAGAGTAAAGGGGACTTCACTGGCAACCCTCCTGAGTGGGAAGTAGACATGACGGTACGCAAGAAAGATAAGGCTGCTCCTGCAGTGCCGCTAAAGTAAGGAGACTCAGACTCATAGTTTACAGCTTTGTCAGGCGCGACTTAAAATACGCCAAGAACACAGCTAAGGGCACATCCCATTTGACTAAAGACACGTTGTCCTTAAACAGCTTCTAGATTAGGCCTTCCTATGTTTGTTGAAATTGTTAGTGAGGCTCCAAAGCTGCAGAGAAACCCTGTCTCAAAAAACAACAGAAAATTGTTAGTGAGATAGTGGTCTTGCTAGCCTGTCCCTAGTCAGAGATCCCATGGGAGTTAGAGGTGTCCCTCTTGGGTCTTGTGACAATTGGTCTTACTTAAAGCATGGGGTCTGGGAGACATGCCTCTGGGTGTTGTTTCTGTAAGGGTGTTTCCAGAGAAGAGTAACTGAGTGGGGGTAGAGCTCATCTTCAAAGTGGATCGTATCTATGTTGATATTTATCAATCAGTGGTCCAAGGAAGCAGTGTCACCTGGATATCCTTCCTGAACATGTATTTATAAGTTGTCACCACTGCCCTCCGATAACATCATATTCTGTCTCTTTAGCTTTTCAACATCAGGTCAAAACACCAACCGGGGGTCGCAGGAGCCTCAGAGCTTGGGAACCAGCAGGCATCAGCATGCTGAGGCATCTAACTGAGTGGATTAGAGTTTTGCCCTCTCCATTTCTTCAGAATGCAAATGGTTGCAGGATGTCTTCTCTCATCCATTTTTAAAAAGTGACTGATTTGCAGTTTTAAATAAAATGGCATGCTACCTTCATATATTCTCATTTTAAAAATCTGTCCCTGATTTTAGCTTTATCAAATCTGATTAATCAATAAAAATTTCTATTAAAGCCGCTTCTAATTATTGAAGGATTAATGTGTATCATTGTAGGTATAATGATCATAGTTTTTTCTTAATTTTTTATACTATAACTTATTTTTTGAGTATTTCACATATGTATACAGTGTATTTCGATCACATTCAGTACCCTATTCTCCCCCTTAACTCCTCCAAGATCCACCCTCTATTCCCCCTACCACTTCCCTGATGGAGGAGTTAATTTCATTGGTTATTAAAGAAACTGCCTTGGCCCATTTGATAGGCCAGCCCTTAGGTGGGTGGGGCAGACAGAACAGAATGCTGGGAGGAAGTGAGGCAATTGCCATGCCTCTCCTCTCTGGGTCAGACACGATGAAGCTCCAGCCCAAGATGGACGTACACTAGAATCTTCCTGGTAAGACACCACCTTGTGGTGCTACACAGATTATTAGATATGGGTTAAAGCAAGATATGAGAGTTAGCCAGTTAGAGACTAGAGCTAATGGGCCAAGTAGTGTTTAAAAGAATACAATTTGTGTGTTGTTATTTCGGGGCTTAAGCTAGCCAGGTGGCCAGAAGCCAGGCGGCAGGAACGCAGCCCATTGCTCTTTCTACACTTCCCAACTTTGTTCTTAAAAAAAAAAAACTAGGAAGTCTAATTAGTGCTGCCCCTATTATACTAAGGTGTGTGGCATTCTACTGGAGCATGGTTGACATCCCGGGTGCCACAGCCTTAAAACCTGACTTTTTCTTCCCCAGTGATCATCAGTCAATAGCTGCTCAGTTAGGGGTGGGGGTTCCTGAGCCCCTCCTCCCTGCATGCTGGAATGCTGACTGATTTGATGTTAGACAGGTTTTATGTACACATGAACTCTCAGCAGCTACAACACTCCTGCCACACCCAGAAGACACTGTCTCTGCCTGGTCCTCCCTGACCATGACACATAGAGAAGACACCAGTGACGACTGACTGGCTCTGCTGGACCCTTCTCTTCGGTTATTGCCATTTGAATGCCTTAAATAGTGTGGGAACAATGATCAGACAGCGAGAATGGAGCAGACTGGCGGCTGGACTCTGCATTATCTACCTTTTGGTAATTAGTATTTTGGTAAGATACTCACATGCTTCAAATGTACATTAGAGTTTAATAAAATGAGCAAATGGTCTAGCCTTCTGCAGGTCAGAAAGACTGGAAATGGGATGTAGAGTTAGTGTGGAAAACATGCAGACTTCTTTTTCTGAGGGATAAAAATTTCCATTTTATTCTTTCTGTTGCTTGCTCTGTTCTTCTACCCTGATGGTTTCTTTTTTACTCCTTCTTGATGTTTTCCTTCTCCACCTTTCCTTCTCTATCCTCCCTGGTGTTTCCCTTCTTGCTCCTTCTTGATGTCTTCCTTCTCCATCCTCCTTGGTGTTTTCCTTCTGATGTCTTTATTTTTCCCTTTACAGCTTATATACTCCAGTAAATTCTTTCAAGCAATATAAAAATTACAGTGTGATTATGTTCTGTTTTTCAAGTGAATGATCACAATGAAAACAAGTAAAAAACGTTTCCCATTTCCCTTACATGATTAAACATTTTACATATTACAGGTAGAAAGCAAATTGTCCCCCAAGAACCAACATAGTTAAATATCTATTTTTTAGACTTCTCATAGATCAGGAGCCTTTAAGCCATAACCATTTACATAGGCAGTTTTTATATTGCCAGAAAACAGGTTACTAGCTTCACTTTTCATATTAACTAACAAGTCCAACTAACTAGCCACCCAATTCTTTGTTTTCTAGTTACATTAAGACAATGGCTTAAAGCTTTGTTTTAGTCATGATGTACACTAAAACCTGTGAACACATTTTCCAATATCAAAAAGAATTTGAGCTAATTCATGGGACTCGATTGCGTTCCTTAATCATTAACCTAAGCCACACAGTCGATAAGGCTCCTCAAGAGAAACTTGTAAGTCTGAGCTGCATGACACTTTCTTGTTATTTTCTGTCCTCTGCAACCCCTGCTTTATCAGGAGCAGGGCAACACTATAGCCTACCTTTACCTATATTAATTTTCCCACTAAACTGACCTGAAGGAGTAGTGGGAGGGTGGCTGGCTCTCAGAGGAGTTTACAACCACCTACTCCCTCCTCCCCCAGCTGCTGCACCTGGGCCTGCATAATTCCCCGTGTTTGCTAATGTACTCAGGAGGTTAAAAGGAATATTCATCTACACAGCTTTTGGAGATCACCTAGGGGTGGGACTTTTCTGTGTATAACTGTTTGGGGGCTCACTCATGCATCTGTATGTAACCCTCATCCATGGTCTTGTAAGGAAGTCCTTGGTTAGAAGTTGTTTGGGGATGGAGAGGTGGTTTGGTGATTAAGAGCCTGGCTGCTCTTTCACAGAACCAGAGTCCAGCTTGATGAACATAAACAAGTGCGATACATTTTTGCATAGTTAGATATTCCACAACAAGTGTGTACATGCTAAATTAATAGCATATGCATACAGACTCATTTTTACAGTATGGAACGGAAGTGTGTCTTTACTATATAGAATATGAAAATGCTTTCTATGTATCCATCCTGTCCACTATCAGTCTCATGGAAGAAGAGGTATCAGTTCAAATGGAGGACTTTAAACACTATGATTTGTTTACCTAACTTCATCTTGTTCATCCTGTCTTAGGGTTCCTAGTGCTGCCTATATGTGCATGGGTATGGGGGCGTTCACAAGAGCCTGATTATCCTATCAGTGGCCATACTCCTATAACAATGACTTTTCCTCCTCTAGTGTCATCAATTGTCAATAATACTTTAGGTAGGGGTGGAGCCTCACGAGTCTCTCCCCATCCATAATGGAATGTGGGCTGACTTGACCTGCAGCATGTAGATGTATAAGGGAGGATTCCATTTTTAGTTGACAACCATTCTTGGATACCGTTGCAGAATATTTGTTTAAGTGCAAAGCTCCGCTGCATTTGTTTGTTATGGGATATTTGTTTAACTAGGTAAAGATGTGTTGCTGTTTTACCTGTCTGCTTAAGGCACCTGATTGCTCGAATAAAAAGCTGAACAGCTAAAAGCAAGGGAGGAGGTAGGGGCAGACCTTCTGGGAAGGGAGAGTAAGTTGGAAGAGGAATTTAGATTTGAGGTAGAAGAAAGAAAAGGAGATGACAGGGAGACACTGGGGGCCATGCAGCAAGACATGGAAGAAGCAGGAAAGTAGGACTTACATAATAAAAAAGAGCCCCGAGGCAAAAAGTAGATGAATAGAAACAGGTTAAACTAAGTTAAAAGAGGCAGTGGGACAAGCCTAGCTAAGGCCTAGCATTCATAATTAATAAGTCCCTGTGCCTTTATTTGGGAGCTGGTTGGCAGCCCAAAATTCCAACTATAGATGATGTCCAGCATGGGGACTGAATTTCCACGTAGGGATTGGGAAAGCTGGAAAAAAAATGAAAAGGTTGCGGTTTCTTTAAGAGGTAGGTGCTGCTGGGCAGCAGAACACTTGAACAACCATGATGCTGAGCAGAAACGGCAAGATAAGTAAAAACATTTGGCACAGTATGAGTACCAGCTTCCTAGAGCTGGGAAGATTAAATGCAATTCCTGGTTAAACACAGCTCTTAGCCTAAGGTGTGCCTCTCACAGCTGAGAAGGGGTGGAGCCAACTGCCAAAGCCACAAGGCAGAGTGCCTACCTGCTGATTAGCAGTTTAAGGGTTGGCTCACGTGGTCAGAGAATGCTACCGATAAACAGTAAAACAGGTCCAGACCAAAAACAAAGCAAAACAAAAAAATTAAACAGGTTATAGTGTGCATAGATGCTTAAGAAAGAAAAGAAAATGGGCATAGGTGCTTTGCTGACTTTGAATTTTTTGAATGCTGATGAGCAAACGGCAGCTGCTGAGAGACATGGGATTGTAAAAGAAATTGCTGAGTTAAACCAACCTAGATACTTTAGAGATGTCTTAACTTTAAAATGGAATCCTGAAAATGTATCATGTTGGGAGAGAGGTTATGCTTTTGCTTTCATAGGAAATGAAAGGCTGTGGGTTCCTTCAGAATTAATAGAGACCAGATTTTATTGGGGGAGATGCACTGAAAATCTTGGCTACAGACATAAAAAATAAAACTAGAAAAATTTACAAGACAGGTGATGTGTATGCTCATCCCATGACTTGAAAACAGCTCTGAGACGGAATGAGACATGATAAATCTTGTTGGTTGCAGGGTCATCATGACTCATTATATGCCACCCTTTCATATGCCATGGACAGAGGTTTGGTTATATGCCATGGACCGTCCCTCTTGGAGACCGCTATCCACGGGAGAACAGGGTGAAGGATAGGATAGCCAGGATACGACGCAAGGGAATGACAGACAGACACACTGGTAGTGAGAATCTGCTGCAATTTTACTTCTGCAAAGCTTCAGTTTTTGTACAAAACAGATCAAAGAACTTGGCAGGCTCATTACATCACCCCACTCAGGGTTCCAGACATAAATCAAGGCTAAGCATAATCAAAATAGAGCTCCTTCTACGTGCTCCCCTCTACGTGCTCAAGATGTTGGCAAGGACTTTTAGTTTTGTTTTGTCTCACACCATTAACCACATTCTACCGTGGGGACTAGTTCTCAGGGTCCTGGGTCTAGCTTTTTATGTATATAATTTTTTATTCTTTGCTCCATATTCCCTAATAGTTTTTTCGTTTCCTCATGATAGTTCCTATACCAATATATTAAAGCTGGTCTCATGTTTTCAATAATTTCCATTCTTTCCTTCTTACTATAAAGACACCAGGGCTTCTGGGATCTAGCTAATCTTTCCATAAAGGGGAATTTTCTCTAACTCTCCTTTTCTCTCTAAATCTGATTCACTATGATGATTCCCTCGTAACATTTCAACTTTAGCCGTTTCTGTTTCATAATAAAGTTTCCCATGCTCATGTGGCGTGGGGCATACTTCAGTTCCTCAAGGACTGC